TGTTTGTACCATTTTATGTAGGTTACTTGATCAGTGTGTTTTTGCATTTTCAGTTTTTTTGGACACTTTGGACTACTCTGGACTAGTACTTCACTTAAGTAATACTACTACACTCTCACCTACATACAGTTCACACCTTCTCTACAGTCCTGTATAGCACTGGTCGGCCATGCTTTCTCAGACTGACAGTCAATTACCAAACATTAAAAAGGCTTTTGCCAATAATCACCTCTCACTCAGCCCCTCTCCTTACTCACTGACAATGACGGCGATGATGCTTTCAGGTTAGAGTTTAGGGGGGCAAGGCCAGACCGGTGGAAAACATATTTGCGGTATCATTTCCATACGCTCCGGTGCACAAATGTGATTTATGACCTTGGTTTAATGGCCGGAGCCGAGTCTTGGTGGATATCAGATGACTTTTCCAATATGGCCGACGTCAGAGGGGCAGCGTTGAATGCACCATCACAACAGGAAATGTGGGCTTGTCTCGGGCCAAGAAAATATGAGAAGGCAGATATCTGATCATCTAATGGCATGATAGACGCTACTTCACTTTGACAGAAAAGGCATCAGTCGATAGCGGCCAGATGAGGAGGCTACATGGAAAAAGCGATGCCATGGATTTCTGCCGGTCTATACGAGATCATTAATTTGTAACATGGTGCAGTGGAGTGTGTGTGTATGTGTGTGCGTTAAATCATGTGTCAAGGCCAGCTCCTATTTCAGAAAATGTATAAGAAAAACAATATAGCAAATAATTGATTCAAATGAAGTCAGGAGGCATGATTTGTACTAGATATTACGATAAGGAGACGGTGCTTTTTCAAGTTTTTGGAAGGGCCTATATTCAACAAAATTGACTCTTGTGAGCTTTGTTATAATATTGTTACCTTCTCAAAAACAAAGCTGGAGTTGGATTTAGTTTCATTCACATATGTTTGAGTAAACCTCAATTACTAGTCTGTCTACATCTCCAAAGCTTAAAATGCTCTGTAGATTAGATAGATTTCAATTTAACAGTTACCTTTTACATTTTCTTTAGTAGAGACCGGTAATCTCAGGGTTGAAATTATCCAAATGATTCTAGTGAAGGAGTACTGAGTTTAACGCTTTCAGACCAACTGTACCGTATAGGATACCTCAGAATATGTTTTATATAATTGCACATAGCTTTCCAACCATAAAAGATTTTTTTTCCTCAAAAAGCTAAAACTCGTTAACCAGGCAGGCGCCACCTAGTGCCTCTGCTCAATTTCATTTCTCTCCGGCGACTAAAACACACTAGACAGCGTTCTGATTCCTGATTCCGGAAGTGCGAGTTCGAGCACCAGCCAATCAGCGAAGAGCCATACATTCTGTGTTGGTGATGATTCCCGAGATCGAGGATTTAAAGCCAGAACAAAGAAAATGTTCAGTGAATTTTATCAAGGGGAAAGACGTTATTGCCCTTCTTCCTACGGGATTTGGGAAAAGCTTAATATAACAGTTAGTCCCGTTAGTGGCGCATTGCATACATCACGACCAAATAGCAGTGATTGGTTAAATGAAAAAAAGTAACCGCCTACCGTCAAGCAAACAAATTCAACGTTACGGTTTCTATGAAGTGAAGTGAAACTGGCTGGTGAATCAGGGTAGAAACTCATGGCTTTCCGAACATATTTTTCGGCATTATTCTACGTCATAAGTATGCTGCATCATGATGTACGAAAAACTACAGCATGCAGATTGTGAAATAACAGGTTATACTGAAAAAAGAATAGTCTACGCATTGGAAAGACAATGTTATTAGGGATGTGCAATTAATCATTAATCAAACCACTTGATGTAATGTTTGGGGTCAGTTTTGAATTGACTCGCACTTGAGGTCAAATACTTGAGACTTACTTGAGATTTGCAAAACAACCATATAAATAAATAAATAAATAAATAATAAATATGTATATGTGTATATATATATATATATTTATATATTTATTGGGTGCTTCAATTGGGTGTATGGCAACAATGAGAAGTGTCGCATTTTGAAATTCTCAATTTGCAGCATAGCAATTATCACAGCTATATATATGCTTTTTATATATATGCTTTGTAGAGATGAAATGATCTAGTGAAGGAGTATGGACTTTAAAAACACGAAGGAGCACATCACATGAGTGTTTAGAATGACAATACATCACCAAATTAATTAAAGGACCTGTACCTGATTTTTTTTTTTCTGAAAATGCAGAAAGTAAAAGAGGAACAACTTTGGACCACTGCAAACAGTTTACAATGAACTGGTTCTGTTTTCCACATTTATAATTAAATTGGTTAAAAAAAATATCCGGTACAGGACCTTTACCTATATAAGACAAAACTAAAGTTATATTTTTAAAGTGCAGACAACATCACATCATGTTTAACCCTCTCAGGCTCAAATTAATTTTTAGTATCAGGAAAAATCTGATATTTGGGGAAAATTATAATATGGGGTAGTAATATACAATTCTGACTTTTTTATCCTTTGTAAAAAAACAAAAAAAGTATTTTGCACTTCTGGAAGGCCATTTGCGTGTAGCCATTCTTGCACAGTCTGCATTGCCCACGTTTATCAGCATGGATGGGAGAAAAGACTCCTGAGTAAAAAAAGCTCATATAATATGGATGTGGAGTAAGTAGGTACTTGGAATTTAGCTGTTGCAAATCTGCAACGCCTGCCTGGAGAGGGTTAAAAGCTCCAAAAAAGAGCACTGTGTAACTTTTTGATTTGGGATCCATCACCTGCTTCTTTCTATGAATATGTCATTGCTCTGCTTGGTATATTCCACAGTATGACATTAAACAGCTCTACCTTACATTTACTCAATTACAGGTGGTTTTATAAAAACCCAAAAAACAAAACAGGCATTCTGACTGAGTGTGGTTGCCTCTCCGCAGATCTGACGTGTGACTTGGCCTGGTTTAGGCTACGTCCACGTTTGCGGGTTGAAAAACATTTGCGCCCACACTCATGTCAGATCAATAAATATTCACGTCCAGACAACAACAGAGCACTGAGTGAAAATGATGTCATACATATGCCACGCCTGTATGTGCTGCTGTTAACAATGATAATAATATTTAATAATGCACATCTCATCACCATTTTTTTTTTTACTTTAAGGTAATCTAGCCTATTTTAGATGTATCCCAGAAATATAGTCGTTTTGTTTTGCAAAAGTTAAAGGTTGTATGGAGGATTTTTTTTTGTTTCAAGTTGTCAATGATAGCATTATAGAGATGCAGTAGCCTTGTAATCATGATGACCAAAAAAGAGAATAAAAATTCATCAACTCTGGACGTGGTGGGGCTAAACATTTGCCAATAGATAACGACACTGCCTCGTTATCTGTGAGCTGACAGGCTGTCAATCAATCTCCCTACGTTTCTAGCGTAACTGACTTGCCTGCGCGCCGCCGGTACGTGGTTTACGTACATCTGTCACGCAGTCCACAGACGCAAGCCGCACAGACGCTGTTTACTTCACCAACTCAACAGTTCTTAGCGGCTTTTTTTTACCTATATCTTCCTCGCAGTTAGCACAAAGTTTGTTGCAATGGCAGACAAGAATCCAGGAGCAGTTAGCCGCAAAAGAAAGTCCGTTTTTGAGGTCGCTGAAAGAAGAAGACAAGGGGAAAAGCAGCGAAGCCAAACTAAGGTGATTCTTATAGATTCATTCCAGCGATGGCGCAACTGAAGCAGACGCAGGGTCTAAAGACTGACGCATTGGTCGCCAAATTACTCCTGGACAGGTCACTTCTGCTTATTATGAAAACGTACTTTATTTCCAAGAGCTAGTCAAACGTTTTTCAGGACACGAAAGCGATATCCTATGTCTGAAAACGTAATTTTCAAGGCAAAGAAAGAGTCCGCTTGCTGCTGCGTGTTGTAGCTAGTTCATTCGCACGGAATCTCCGCGCAACCTTCTCTGCACCCCTTTCCTGCTCCTGTCCCCGCTGCCCGTTCCGCTCTTCCCCCTGCTCCTCACTTCTCCGGGCACGGAATCTCCGCGCACCGCTCCCCTCTCCTCTCTCCTCTCTCCCTCCGCTCTTCTCCCTGCTCCTCACTTCTCGTCCGCGAACGAAATGTCCGCACACCCCCTCCCCCCGCTCCTCACTTCTCCGCCTTGCCTAACCAACACTGTAGTTAGTTGTTTACAAGTCATGTGCAGCGCACCGGCTGTAAACAAACCTGTTTCTGGCGTAAAGAGGAGGCGGGAGGAGGCGTTTCTACGTAGGGAGCTGTAGGGGAGGGGGGGTGGTTTCACGCATGCGCAACATTTGAAAAAGGACAAACAGTCGCTGGATTTCTCGTTCCTTGGAAAATCCTCTATACAACCTTTAAACATAAGTTTTCATTTTTAGCCATAAGAATTGCATGAGAATTATTAGAATAACTTGGTCTCAAAATCAAACAGTTCAATTACCCATGCGTAATCATTGTTACTGATCCGTGTGCGTAATCTGCGTGGTGTGTGTTGTTAGCATAAGTGCTAGCAGCGTGTCTCGGTTGCTGGGCGATGGGAGCGGCTCCGTGGGCTGCACCTGTCTCATTTCGGCAACGGTCTTACAGTCTGCGGGGGCTAGTTTGAGGGCTGCAACGTTTTCCAAAAGCCGTGGTTTGCTTGTCCACACGACAATGCAACGCCGGCGTTCTCAGATTTCTCCACTCTAGAACCCATCCTCAAAAAACACTGTTTTCATGTGAACGAAAGGCCAAAACAAATACAAACTTCACCATTTCGACCAAAGACAGACCCTTAGTCTCCATGAATATAGAAAGGTTTAATGCCATACTGTGAAACATTCCAGACAAAGCAACAACATCTCCACGAAGAAAAGCATTTGATGGACCCTCCACCAGAAAAGTTACGCAACGCACCTTTAACTTTCCTCTTTTAAAAACCCAATTTTAGTTTTCGAGGCCAGTCTGAATAGTGTTATGCTGTGAAAGTAGATGTACAAATATAGCGGACTCACCTGGGCCTGGAAACTCTTGAGAACAGGTGCCACCATCTCACGGACTTCCTGAATACACAGAAAATAAAAACACGCACTCAGCTCATTTCATGTCTGCAGATGCTCCACCTGTTTAAGTACAGACCCAAGCAGCACAAGCAGCCCCACAAGAAACGCCACACGAGGATTTAATGGATTGTGATGATGTCATAGTCCCAGATGGGATCCAGAGCCAGTTTTCCCTATCCATGGGTGTCTGAATGGTGAGAAATTAGGACCGTTGCCATAGTGATTGACAATTTAAAACTAAATCTTACACCTTTTGAATGAGGAAAACTCCTGAAAATGTTGAATATTGCAGGAAGCTGATACGAATAGATTGGGTTAACATTCATGAATTTGATAATGTCTTAAAATCCGTGTATCATTCGTTCATTCGTTTTTCAATATAAAACCAAAAATAAGAAAACGAAAAAACAACAGTTTTCTTCGTTATTTGTCTCCAAGACCAAAATGAAAAAACGGATAACGATTCGTTTTTTCAGTTTTCGATTTTGTGTTTAAATGAAGAATGGAAAAAACGGATAACGGCCGTTTCCCGTTTACGTGACTTCCGTGACTGCGATGCCGGACTTTTGCACCGCATACGGACTGAACCGGGACTGATCCAGGTCCGAGACCAGACCGAGACCAGAGCGGGACTGAGACCGGGACCAGACCGGGACCAGAGCGGGACTGAGACCGGGACCAGACCGGGACCAGACCGGGACCAGAGCGCTACTGAGACTCAGTCCCGCTCTGGTCCCGGTCTGGTTCCGGTCTCAGTCCCGCTCTGGTCTCGGTCTGGTCCCGGTCTGGTCCCGGTCTCAGTCCCGCTCTGGTCCCGGTCTGGTCCCGGTCTCAGTCCCGCTCTGGTCCTGGTCTGGTCCCAGTCTTGTCCCGTCTCAGTCCCGCTCTGGTCTCGGTCTGGTCTCAGACCTGGATCAGTCCTAGTTCAGTCCGTATGCGGTGCAAAATTCCGGCATCGCAATCGCGGAAGTCACGTAAACGGGAAACGGCCGTTATCCGTTTTTTCCATTCTTCATTTAAACACAAAATCGAAAACTGAAAAAACGAATCGTTATCCGTTTTTCATTTTGGTTTTGGAGACAAATAACGAAGAAAACTGTTGTTTTTTCGTTTTCTTATTTTTGGTTTTATATTGAAAAACGAATGAACGAATGATACACGGATTTCTTAATTTTCAAAATTTATGATCCACAAATGTTGAACCTTGAAGCTATTGTGACAAAACAATTTCATTTTTGGTTATTTGTGAGAAGATGTCAGACTTTTTTTTTTTTTTTTTACCAATTTTTGTTTCTTGTGGCAAGTCCCAACAATTGCAGAGACTTAAACAGCAAACTCTGCCGCAGAATTCTGACCTGTTCTCCAGCTCATTTTGAAAATATAAGGATTCCAGAATTGTATGATATCATGTGAACACAACCTTGAGAGGAAAATGCACAAATGATGAACTAAACCATTTATAGTAATAGACTTTTGAATTAGAGATATTTACAAACCAGTGCAATAGCAAAATATCTTTACCTGGCCCCAGTGGTGTAGTGAGGATTTTTTAAGTGGGGGTACGCGATTCGTGACTGAACCAGGAGGACTAAAATGGAACTAAACCAGGACTAAACATGAACTAAACCAGAACTAAACATGAACTAAACCAGGACTAAAAAAGGACTAAAGAGGAACTACACCAGGACTAAACCAGGACTAAACCGGAACTAAACCAGGACTAAACCAGGACTACACCAGAACTAAACCAGGATTAAACCAGGACTGAACTGGGACTAATCTTGAAGACAGACTTGGAGAGAGAGAGAGAGAGAGAGAGAGAGAGAGAGAGAGAGAGAGAGAGAGAGAGAGAGAGAGAGAGGTTTGGAGAGAAAGAGACTTAGAGAAAGAGAGAGAGACTTAGAGAGAGAGAGTGAGAGAGACTTGGAGATATGGAGATAAAGAGAGAGATTTGGAGAGAGAGACTTGGAGAGAGAGAGACTTGGAGAGAGAGAGAGAGAGACTTGGAGAAAGAGAGAGAGACTTGGAGAAGAGAGAGAGAGACTTGGAGAAAGAGAGAGAGACTTGGAGAGAGAGAGAGACTTGGACAGAGAGGCTTGGAGAGAGAGAGACTTAGAGAGAGAGAGAGAGAGACTTAGAGAGAGAGAGTGAGAGAGACTTGGAGATAAAGAGAGAGATTTGGAGAGAGAAAGAGAGAGAGACACTTAGAGAGCAAGAGAGAGACTTGGAGAGAGAGAGACTTGGAGAGAGAGAGAGAGAGAGAGATAGACTTGGAGAGAGAGAGAGACTTGGAGAGAGAGAGAGAGAGACTTGGAGAGAGAGAGAGACTTGGGGAAAGAGAGAGAGACTTGGAGAGAGAGAGAGAGAGAGAGAGACTTGGAGAGAGAGAGAGAGACTTGGAGAGAAGAGAGAGAGACTTGGAGAGAGAGAGAGAGAGACTTGGGAGAGAGAGAGAGGAGAGAGAGAGACTTGGAGAGAGAGAGAGAGAGAGACTTGGAGAGAGAGAGAGAGAGACTTGGAGAGAGAGAGAGACTTGGGGAAAGAGAGAGAGACTTGGAGAGAGAGAGAGAGAGAGACTTGGAGAGAGAGAGAGAGACTTGGAGAGAGAGAGAGAGACTTGGAGAGAGAGAGAGAGACTTGGAGAGAGAGAGAGACTTGGAGAGAGAGAGAGAGAGAGAGAGAGACTAGAGAGAGAGAGAGAGAGAGAGAGAGACTTGGAGAGAGAGAGAGACTTGGAGAGAGAGAGACTTGGAGAGAGAGGAGAGGCTTGGAGAGAGAGAGAGAGAGAGAGAGAGAGAGAGAGACTTGAGAGAGAGAGAGAGAGAGAGAGAGAGAGAGAGAGAGAGAGACTTGGAGAGAGAGAGAGACTTGGAGAGAGAGAGACTTGGAGAGAGAGAGAGAGGCTTGGAGAGAGACAGACTTAGAGAGAGTTGGAGAGATAGATAGATAGATTTATTTATTGTCATTGTATGAAATACAACGAAACTTCAACAGAGCAGATCTGTAGCAGTAAAAATGAACAAATACACACACATCCTCACATCCATACCAATAAAAAACATTTAATAAATAAAATAAATAGATTATTGCACTGAGTCCCTTCAGGCCTTTTATCTGTGCCTGTGCCCTTGGAGCACGTCCACTGCTCGTGGATAGAAGCTGTTGCGCAGCCTGTTTGTGCGTGTGAGGGGAGTTTGAAGTCTTCCTGAGGGGAGAGTGTGGAAGAGGCAGTTCCTGGGGTTTGTGGGGTCCTGCAAAATGTTGGAGGCCCGTGTGTGGCGACGTGAAGAGTAGATGGTGTCCAGGTTCGGGAGTGAGGAGCCCACCCCTTTTCAGCTGTTCTCACCACTCGCTGCAGGTCCTTCTTTTCAGCAGCTGTGCAGACTCTGTACCACGATGTACAGCAGTACGTCAGAACACTTTCGACGGTGTACCGGTAAAAGTTGGTTAGGAGCTTCTGGGAGAGCCCGTTCTGGCGGAGTGTTCGTAGAAAAAACTGTCTCCGCTGGGCACGCTTTATAATGCTGATTTTGTTTAAGCTCCAGGTCAGATCCTCACTGATCTCCACACCCAAGAACTTAAAGAGAGAGAGAGAGAGAGACTTGGAGAGAGAGAGAGACTTGGAGAGAGAGAGAGACTTGGAGAGAGAGAGACTTGGAGAGAGAGAGAGAGACTTGGAGAGAGAGAGAGAGACTTGGAGAGAGAGAGAGAGAGAGAGAGAGAGACTTGGAGAGAGAGAGACTTGGAGAGAGAGAGAGAGAGACTTGGAGAGAGAGAGAGACTTGGAGAGAGAGAGAGAGACTTCTGGGCCCATTCCGACACTGAGTCCTAGTTTAGTCCTGTTTTAGTCCTGGTTCAGTCCTGGTTCAGACCTGGACCCTCATGTCACAGGTCTATATAGGACAGCAGTGCAGATATCATGAGCCTATGCAAGTTGTTCTCACCATTGCCAGTAGCTCCGGTCTGACATTTAAGTTGTAGGCTATTTTATATTTGTTTTGTTTTTTTACATCTCACATCTACCCACTTCACCCACAGGAGACACAGGCGTACCCCCGCGTACCCCGACCACTACACCCCTGCCTGGCCCTCATTCTTCATTCATTATCATTCATCATTGGAATTTTTGGTTTGATTTAATATAAGACTGTGAAGACCATAGCAAAATTCTTGTAAGACCAATCTGGCAATATATAGATTTTAAAAGGCATTTGTGATCTCCCTTCATCAGTGCTTTGTTTCTCTGAGCGATTATAAGACAGTGTCCTGGTGCATTTTCATATTTGTCCGGTGGTACTGCCCTCTGGTGATCTAACCTTGAAGTCGGCGAAGACAAAACTCGAATACAATTTCCCTTTTGTATTTTGCATTGATTACCATTTCCAAATTTTAGAACACCCCTTACTTTTTAAGTTTTTAAATTTTAGAATGTAATGAGGTCACACTCAGTTGGGGGCAGCAACCAATAGTCCTGTATCAATTATCGGTTATTTTCATGAGAAAGTACAAAAAGAACATTTACATAAATCATCTCATATTTATCCAACCACATCAACCCAAATGAGAGACTCCTGCGAGGCTCATTCTGCTGTCTGATTGGATATTCGCAACCAAAACCAAAATTAAAACATAAACAACTTGGCTGTCATGTCTAATGTTTTTGTAACTACGGATAAATCAACTTTAGAATGGTTATAAGTAAAAGTTATATTTGTTTTGAACCTGTTTACTTTGTATCTGAGACACAAATAGGTCATGTTTATGAAATGTAAAATCTAAATCCCACATAGAGTTGTTTAAATGTTGTGATATGATCTGAACCCTAGTCTTCCCTGTGTGCGGGTGGTATCACAGTCTAAACCTGAAGAGCTCGAGTGGACTTCTTTACAAAGTGTATTTTTCCAGTAGCCGCTTTGGCCTGACGTGAGCTGCTACCCACCGCCTCAGGTAAAGGGATTGTGCTGCCATTCGTGACAGTCTGATCCAGTCTTAAACGCTAGTATTAAACCCACAAGATCACAGCGCTGTATCTCCTGCTCAAACTCATGCAGACTGCAAATAGCCCCCAGGCTCATTTAGTAAATATCTAAATGCTGCCAAGCGTCAATGTGGCTCAAAGAAGATGATAAGAAAGGAGAGAATCAGGTCTAATGTCAGTTAACACTACTAGAGTAGTTGCTTCAAAATAATATTACTACAGTAGAAGTGTAATGTAGAGGTTCAAGAAATTATTCAACTAAGGTTACGTTTACACTGAAACGAATCACTGTATCACCGTATCTGAAACAATTTGCATCCAGACACGTTGGTTCTGTGTCTGCAAGCCTTCCCTATCCACACAGCTTTTTTTTTTTTTTTTTTTTTTCAGTTTACGTTTTACAGAAACGAATCTTGGCTAATTTGCATAAACTAAGCACTCAAAAAACAGCTCGCTCTTTGTGACATCTGATTTATAATATTAACTTGATGTAAATGGAAAGATGAAACATTAAGTAATGCATCAAATCTGGAATAGATATAGGACAGACCAAAAAAAAATGAAGAAAACTAAATCATATCTTAAGTAGTGGTGTAAGAAATACAAATGTGTAAATCGTTTAGTACTGTGAACATGAATCTTTTACTTTACTCACAGTTGTACTCACATCTTAAGAAAGAGTACTGTAACACTATCAAATACATTACTGTATTTTCTGGACTATTGAGTGCACCTGAATATAAGCAGCAGGTGTCCACATCTACAAGAACGTTATTACGTTTGAGCTGTCTCTGAAAGCTTTTGTCGTCAGTTCGTCACGCTGCCGTCGCCACAATCTCACCATCAACTCACTGATGCCAAGCTCACGTGCAGCAGCTCGGTTTCCTTCTTTGACAGCCACATCAGTTGTTGTTAACTTTAAAGCTGCATCATCTGCATTTTTTCATGTGTATTCCATGAGGAGGGTGTGTGTATGAAAAGTAAAATTACTGTTCAAAACACAATCAAACAAGCATCTTCCTCGACGCATCACCCCTGTTTCTCCCCGCACTCTAAGGTGCATGACTCCTGCAAGGGCTGCTGTCCTGTCTTGTCTTTATGCCAGTCTTGTAGGATTTCAGCAGATTTCAGACTCTCCCGGGGGCTAGGCTAGATCAGGTATGAGTGGATGTCCAGGTATTGAAGTTTGAGACGTTTCTTCTCATCATTTACGCATACGGGTAAGATGTTTCCCCCTCACTGATGTTCATTTAGCATCATAACTTATTTTATCCCACGATGATAAACTGTTTGAGTGCACTGACAAAATCACTAGCTAGTGTAGCAAATTCATGTAAACCCTAGATCCATGAGTGAGCCGCACAGACAGTGACGTTTTCTGCAATCAGACTGCGTATGTCCACGGTGTTGCCAAACCATAGACCGTATATATGAATGGAGAATCTGCCCAACAAAGAATCCGTCCTTATGTTAGCCGCATTGTTTTATTAGCCGCAGGATTCAAAGTGTGAGAAAAAAGTAGCAGCTTATAGTCCGGAATTTACGGTACTCAAGAAAGTAGTAAATGTAAATGTACCCACCTCTGAGTCAAAATGACTTTTTATAAAAACAGAAGTGGGTTAAATGTGCTTCAAAGATTATGAAAATATATGTGCTAGAAGAGATGACAGCTCATTTGAGGATAAGCATTTACAGTTGAGTTTAGCTTTAATCAAAGAATATTTATTAATGCAATACTCAAATGCGATGTAAACATTATCAAGAGGAATGGGAATCTCATTGCAGTCTACAAGAGCAAGATATGACCTTCCAAAAAAAAAAGGATGGATGAATCATATATTTTCTTTTTATTGAGCATTTTACCTCATAACTTGTTTCATCAATTATTTTCAGTAATAGCACTGGCTGCGATCCAAATTATTATTTTACGGCATCCTTCCACATTCTAATCTCTAACTAACCTCTGTTGGTGGTAGATGGTTGGAAACCCTACAATATTAAGAAAATCAGTATATTGCAGATGACACCCAATAAAATAATAAGTGCAAAATAAACATTTAGCATTAATTTACTGTGAAACAACTGCATGGACTTGCTGATGAGTCTGACGGGTGGTAGCCTACAACCACCAACTGTGGGGAGACAGTCAATGCACTTCTGGATTTATGATGTAGTGTTTATGGAATTAAACAGTAAGATAATGCTTTAATTACATAGAACACAAACTTCATTCACGACGAACAACACAGTGAATATAACTTGTATGAGAAGAGGTAATGATTATAACATGATTAAAAGCAATTAAAAGTTGATTTAGCGTAATAGATCTCCTTTAATGAAGTAATTACTGAGCCTGAATAATTGTTAATAAACTATTTGTTCATTATCAGTCAAGTTTTAGTTACTATAAAGTGGTAGCGGAAATTTAAGAGACAAAAGGAATACACTCCGTTAGCACATCCTCCCGTAAAATTTTAAGATTCTCCTTCAAGTTTTTATACCGTGTCTACACATCATGATCTGCAATCCTGGCATTTACTCAGATTCAGGAGTTATTTGCCTGTTGCCATCTGGGACCCATTGGAATGATATTAAGCCCATAAATTCAATAGTAAAAAGTTGTATGGATTTGCCTTAAGTGCAGACAGCCCTGACTTAAACTGGTGAGTTAGCGGTGTTATTGTGTGATTCGGGTCTCACCTCCGGGACATTTTTCTTGAACTCTCGGCTCAGTTCCACCAAGTGCTTATGGGAATGTTCGCTTTCCTCCTGTCGCCCGGCCAGCTCCGATGCCACCGAGTTCAGCTCCCTCTGTAAATCACGAAAAACAGAGAGGAATTAAAACATAAATTAAAGTGCAGGATAGGGACTGAGAAACATACACAGAAACAGAAATGTCTAAAGGTGCACTATGGAACTTTTAATCATGACAGACCATCCACTCTTTGCTGTTCGCCATGGAGATGTTAGTGCTTTGCCGCGAATGTTCCAAAATGTAACTTGTCTATAGTAAATGGAAAATTATCACATTTTTACACAGCACTTTTCCACCTTCACTCGCTTTAGCTCAAGGAACCACTCACACACACATTCATACACAACTGTACGCACACACTGGGATGAGATGGGTTAAGTGTTTTGCCTTAGGGCACAATGACATTATTCATTTGTGGGAGCTGGAAACACACCTGTGGGTCAGTGGATCTCAACTAGGGATGGGCATTTGATTAAACTTTCTTAATAGAACGTCAGGAGAATTAACAATTGATTTTTGATGAATCATTAACGTTTTTATATTAAACTGATCATCATTATTATTATTACTATTACTAATTTCTATAAATAAACTCAACTTAACAACATATAAACCATAACCACTATAGAGCCACATCAGCCTATTTGACATTATAAATACACACATGTGTTTATGTTTTACAGAAACTTAAAACTGCATGGCTCATTTGCATAAACTATAAGCGCTGAAAAGACATCTCCTTGTACGCTGATGCAGTTCAGCTTCTGTCGGACTAAAGGACACCACTCAGTGGAATATGTGTGTTCTTTCTGTAACAGAGGGAAGTTGATGATGCTGATGGTGAGTCTGTTCTGTGTGTATATCGCATTGGGGATGGTTCATGTTTTCAGAGATCAGACGTGTGCAGGTTTAGCGCTGCGCATTATTTAACAGTCATTTCACTCATTCTGTTTATGTTGGTCACTTTATTTATTTTGGCTACCATTGTGATGAAAAGACCGAAAAATGTTTGTCTTTTGGATGCATGCGCACACATCTTTATGTTGCCATAACTGATAAATACTGCTTATACATGCATGAATCCTCAAAAAAACTGATGATGCTCGGGACACTGATGTGCATGTAAACGCACTTATTGAGTGGTACAGTGATCTCCAAGGAGGTGCCAGAGCCAAAACGTGGGACTGTGAGGCCACAACTCCAATATTTGAGCTGTCAGACGCAGCCTTGCCTCCTTACACTACGCTACCCTCAATAACCGACATTCAGTTTGTTGATTAAAAATGAATGTGATTGACAAAATTTGATCAATTATCGATTCGACAACTAATCATGCCCTCAACCATCTCAACCAATAATGTTTACGTCGTGAGCAGGGTTCAAATCTCTATCTATCTGTCTATCTATCACCATAGAGACAAACAGACAATGCTACTAGGCCAAGTCACAGGCCAAATCTGTCGGAAGGCGACCCTGCTCTTAGTAAGAATGTGTGTGTTTTATTTTAATCTCTTTCATTTCAATTTCAATCCACAGAGATAAGCTTAATGTCATACTGTGTAACATAAGTATGAAAGCAATTCTATCTCCACAGAGACAAGAAAAGTTGCTGCACCTTTAAAAAATTGCATCTAGAAAGACAAGAACGAAAACACATTGCTGAAAGACACAACAGCAGTATGCAATGCCACTATCTGGGATTTAACCTTCAGTCTGATTGGCTGGCTTCTGACGGATACTATACTGACAGACAGGAGTCAATCTAAGCTCACCATTTTACCTGACAACCAAGTCCATCTTTCAGAACATAAAGATGAAATATAACAATACATCTGTTAGTAAAACTTGCATGATACAGGAAAGTGAATGGAGAATGAGGGAGGGCACCTGGCCAAATCTCGTCCCGTAACGCTCCGGAGTGCACATAAATAAAAATACACAGCTGAATATTAACTATGTAATCCTTCATGATCTCACAGCAGTAGTACTTACAGCTAGCCCGGGCCCATAAATAATTAAGCCCAAATAAATCCAATGGCTACAGTAGCAGAGGCCTTTTAGATAATCAGTATTTGAAGTAATCGATACACTGGGTATGGAGAGAGCAGAGAGGGAGGAGGGAGAGAGGCAGAGAGGGAGGGAGAGAGGGAAAGAGGAAATGCACAAATGTCTTCAAAAACAACACAGCAAACTCAATAGGTGATTTTAAAAGCAGGACCAGGACCTCATTCGAAACAAGGGTCAAATCTATTTCCATCTTTTCGCTCCTTCTCGGGGTAAAACATGGATTTATTGATCGACCAATGATTTTCAATTCGGCAGCAACAACAAAAAACAAAGTCATTAAGGTCCCAGCAACATTGACTCTTTAGATTTCAAAAGGAAAAGAAGATGTAGTTAAGTAATGGCTACTTCAGTGTAAAAGTACTCTGAATGTTGATGGTGTGATATACAGTCCTTCAGATCTTGGGTGAAAAATAATACTAAATACTTCTACCAGGCTTCTAATATATACTGATACTCCTCAATGGTATTACTACTAATATTAATACCATTACAAATACTACAACTACTTACTACCAATATTAGTACTACTATTATTACTACAAAAACTAAATTCACTTCTACTAGTAATACTACAACTACTACTGATGCACAAACTGTTGGCTGTATAGTATTCTAATTAACTAAAGCAACTATACTAGTAGTGCTGGTACTACTATTATTACTTTTACTATTTTACTACTACTTTTACTGCTCTGCTGTTGTAATTACAGAGTACAATTGTACGTTCAAGCTTGTAACATTAAGGACAATGTATACAAAAAGTAAATACAGTATACTAATTTAGAATATAAAATACGCATGATGTACTTCAAATGTGAAGTAACCCAAGTAAAGGTATCTGAATTCAGAGTACTTCCTTCCAATTGATCCCACCCTTTCAGGTTGGACTCAACTGTGGCTTTATGTGCTACTACCGCACCAACTACTACTACTGTTACTTTTGCTATCTTACTTACAACTACTTTTACTACTCTTCTGCTGCAACTACCAAGTACAATTGCACATTGAAGCTTGCAACATAAAGAGCAATGTGCACCCAAAAAGCAAATATACTACTTTAGAATATCAACTACTAATGATGTAACAGTAAGTAAAAGTAAAAGTATCTGAATTCCGAGTACTTCCTTCCAATAGACTCCACCCTTTGACAGTGTGTCCGATGCAGTGAGCCATCATAGGAGCCTTGCATTCAAGCTGGACTCAGCTGCACCCACCACCGCACGCCATCCACAAATCCGATATATCGACCCGTCATCCAATTCCAGAGTCTTTCAGCGAACAGGAAAAACGCTCCTCTCTTGTACTGAGAAAGCCAGCCTCGAAACAAACATGCACATTCTCCTCATTTCAAATCCTGCATATACAATAGAAAACGAGAGCGCGGGGATTCGATTACCACTGTGAATTTATATATGAAGTCTGCAAATTAAACTGACTGTGTTTTAATTAATGTGCGGTCTTACTTAAAGGCAATTGAATAAATCATCACTCGGGGAGAAAGTGGAAAGAGGAGAGGGTGAAACGTGAAGCGCGGGGCCTGTGGGGAGGCGCACGCAGACCAACTGACACAAGTGGGCTGTTAATTGAAGGGCTGCCGGTTCAAGTCCCAGGACCGTCAAAGAGCAAAGAGGTAGAGAGATTTGGAGACGGGGTTAAAGCTTTAAGTGACAATGTATGGAACTTAATGAAGCTAGTTTACTAAGTCCATTTAATATGCTGTGTCACAGTAAAAGTTTATTGTTTTTAAGACCAGTAAGGGGGACATTTCCAAACTCAAAATTATGAGTTAGAAGATTTAATGTTGTGTTGTTCAGTCATAAAGGTATGGAAGCCGGGAGGGCTCATAACAAACGTAAATGCCGCAACAAATAGATACGTGACAACACAACAAAAAGCCACAATGAACCAAAAAAAGCCACAGTGGAAGTGACCGCGAGAATCTATTTTAATGCAAACGCCGCAACAAATACAAACACCACAGCGGAAGTGACTGCAGGACTGTATTTTTCGATGGACTAAGCGAAGCATTAAAGGACAAGCAGGAAGTGAATGGGAAAAGTTGAAGAAGAACAAGAACGTGAAACTTAAAGGAACGGAGAAGTGAACGAAGTTGGAAACATAAGTAAAAGTAATTTATTGTTTTATGGTCAGGATCGGAAATTAGTGTCCCGCAGGTCACTTTCATTGTGGCTTTTTTTGTTGTGTTGTGGATTTTTTGTTGTGTTGTGGATTTTTTTGGGGTGTTTTGTGGCTTTTTTTGTGTTGTGACATTTATGTTTGTTATGAGCCCTCCCGGCTTCCGTATAAAAGTAGTGTCAAAGTATGTCAAGTAAGTGTTTTGGGATTTTGAGTGATAAAAGTAAAAAAATGCAAAGGGATTAGCAATTCAAAATATGATCTATTATGTTTTTATATAATGGATATAATGGAAATTCTATATTTTGAGTTTTCTACCATTCTACCAGATAGTTCCCTTGTCAAAAATAATGGTTAACTAAGATTCTGTCCAATGTCCACAAGCCTACGTCATCCATGTTCCTACCCGACAATTCCCCATAAATAATGTATAAAAACATTAAATCTAAATAGAAATTTGAATTCATCACTTACAATATAGTATTCAAAATGTATTACTAATAATTATATACAGTAATTTTTGTTGTGGAAAAAGTACAAGTCTATTCTGAGGACTGAAAAACCTAATTACTACTAACTTTACATTACAGCTACTACAGCAACACGATTAAGTACTGAAGCAACTGCTAGAAACCACAATTTACTATGGTCAACTATAATAGACAAACTATATCTTGTAACACGGGTAAGAGGGATTTTGCAAACAATGCATGTGATAAAGTAGGGATCGGATGACTTCCAGTGTATTAAAAAGACTATATTTCAAGTTTTGCTGCAGTGATTGTAAGTATTTAAATTTTACCCATCTTGGCTTATGGTCAAAGTGTCATCTTGTCAGTGAATAGGGCTGCAC